ATGCTTTATGGAAATATGCTTATGAGTGTAAATATGACATGACTGGAATAGGTTTTATGTTAGATGTGCTATTTAACATATCTCTGCAAAGGTTATGATCTACTGGATATATTCATCCTATTTACATGCATATATCTTTTTGTATTCGAAGTTATGATACCTGAAAGAAACTGGAACAAAGGACAGTAACCGCAGGGGTGTGAGTAATTGCTGGACCCAGACTAGAAGGAGGCTAGTCTGTAAAAGAAGCTTACTGGAACATCTCTGAGGGTGAGATTTCATCTGGAATCACTTTATTACTGTATTAGGCATAGACTTGCGTGTTTTATTTTATTATTCTTGGTAATTTATTTTGTTCTGTCTGTTATTACTTGGAACCACTTAAATCTACTCTTTGTATTTAATAAAATCACTTTTGACTTATTAATTAACCCAGAGAATGTATTAATACCTGGGGGGAGGGGCAAACAGCTGTGCATATCTATCTATCAACGTTATAGAGGGTGAACAATTTATGAGTTTATCCTGTATAAACTTTATAGAGGGTTGTAGTGAGGCGGTGTGGCTCCCTGCCGCCCCAGAGAGGGAAGAGCCAAGCCGGAGGCCATAGTGGGCGGAGCTAGGGAGCACAGAGCCCATACCTCAGAGGGTCAGGCAGCAACCCGGAAGTATAAATGTTCGCCCTCAGAGATCAGTAAGGCCTGAGCCATTGGAGGGGCCAGATACCTCCAGCCCAGCTTGTGACTGGGAAAACTCCGGGGCCTAAGGCAGCCGCCAGGACTGGCCGGACCTGCCATGCGCCTGCTACCCGGAGGAGTTGCCGGACCTGCCCTACGCTCGCTATCCAGAGGAACCTATGGTGCTCGACCAACCAGAAGACAACACTCTGACCCAGGTACTACCCGAGGGGGACTCTGGAAGTAGCCCAGGGGCAGCCGACCCTAGTCTGGCTGCAGCACTGCCAGAGCCCATGTCAGTGTGTTGCGACCAGGATCCCCACTGACTATGCAGCGGGTCTTCTGCCACTGCTAGGGCCCTGGGCTGGGACGCAGTGGAGTGGGAGGGCCTGTGTCCCCCCTGCCACCCAACTCGTGGGTGGCAGTCTCCCCCTCTCCCAGCCCTGAGGAGGCTTGGGCCATTGTTTGTACTGCTACTGCTCAGCCCTGCTTGAGGGCCTGAGCTCCTAACTCAGCATTGTTGCCCCGCCCTGACCTAGAGCCTGGGCCTCCTATTATTTGTACAGTTGTTGCTCAGCACTGCCTAAGGGCCTGAGCTCTGACTCTGCATTGCCCCGCCCTGACCTAAGGCCTGGGCTCAACACTATTTGTACTGTTGTTGCTCAGCCCTGACTGTGGGCCTGAGCCATGACCGATTGTTGCCCAACCCTGACACAGGGCCTGGGCTCCCTACTGTGTATACTGTTGTTGCTCAGCCCTGACTGTGGGCCTGAGCCCTGACCCATTGTTGCTCCACCCTGACCCAGGGCCTGGGCCTACTATTGATTGTACTGCTCCTGCTCAGCCCTGCCTGAGTGTCTGAGCCCCTGACTCATTGTTGCCCGCCCTGACTCGGGCCTGGGCTTACATTGTTTATTTCAGTTACCGCAAGGGCTGGTGAGCAAGACCCCGGCGGACAGACTGATTCCCCAAACAATAACTGTCTGTAGTGAGCCGGTGTGGCTCCCCGCCGCCCCGGAGAGGGTCGAGCCCCGGTTAACCCTTGTACAAGGGTAAAACTGATTTATTTGGTGTTTGGACCCCATTCGGAGTAGGGTACCTGAGTGTTGGAGACAGGAACACTTCTTTTTCACTGTTTTCAGATAAGCCTGCAGCTTTTGGCGGAGGTGGTTCAGACCTGGGTCTTTGTTTGTACCAGAAGTAGTCCAGGCACAACAGGTGACAGTTCCCAAGGGGGTTTCTGTGATCGAACCCATCAGATCTGGTATTCTGGGAATGCCTCAGTGGCCAACCTAGTTGAGGGAAGAGCTGGGAAATATTGTCAGACTGTTTAACTCATCTAAAAACATAGCAGCATTTGTCATGAACAGGTTGAGGAAAACATTTCCCAATGACAAGTTACTTTGACAAGCTCTACCAACCTGAGCTGAGAGCAACATACACACCCCTGCCAATGCCATGCATCTTTGGTCTCCAGGGTGCAGAGGGACTAGGAATGGGCATGTCTGAGATGATCCAGGAATAAACCTGATAATAGGAGAGACCGAGGGGCACCAGTGCCTGAGGCCCCCTTAATGGCAGGGAAATGATTGAGATACACCCAGAAAATCTGCTTCCGAGGAAAATGACCACCCACAATGTCCCTGCCAATCTGATCAGAGGGGAAATTTCTTCCTGACCCCCACATGATGACCCTAAGCATGTGGGCAAGAACCAGCCAGCAAAGAACCAGAGAAAGAGAGAATGGCTCGGTGTAATCTCAGAGCCCTGGCACATCCTGCCCAATGTCCCATCTCCAGCTAGGGCTGCCCGATGCTTCAGAGATTTAAAAAAAACCCTCTCAGAATACACTGGGTCGAGGGGAAGAATCCCTTCCTGACCCCTGCCAAGGGCCAGATGAAACCCTGAAGCATGAGCTTTTAGGAACATAAGACATACGATGCAAGTGAGCCCCAAGGCTGCTGAGCCCTTCCCGCCACCAGCACAAGCAGCCCTGTCATACAGTCCCACTCAGACATGTATCCAGCTCTCTCTTCAAACTAAATCAGTCATTTTCCCTCCACAACTCCTATTGGGAGGATGCTCCAGAACCTCGCCCCACTGGTGGTTAGAAACCTCCCTGTACTTTTTAGCAAGTCTCTCCATCTCTGACACGCCTGAATATAGTCGTGAGCCAGACTGACACAGTCTGGCTCCTTGTCCCCCTCTAGTGGTTAGGCCACGAGTGGTGGTATATAAGACAATGGACTCACTCCCCAGCTAGAGCAATGGATATACAGCTCTATTGGAGGCAGTAGGTCAGATCCACAGATTCAGCAAATTGCTTTAGCACCACCAAAGTAAATGGAACATGTTGAGGATCTACCCCAGTTTTACACCAGTCTGACTCCTTTGGTTCCAGTGAAGCCACTCATGATTTATACACACAAGCAAGACAACTCCCATCATTCTTTTCAGTGGCCATGGAATACGTGCAAGTGGCAAAGCAGTGTAATGGATATTGTTTTGGCACAGAATGAAAGTCTGATTCCTCTCTTGCACACAATTTACACCCATTTACTTCACAACTGGACCAGATTTTCTACTGGTGTAAATCACCCCAGCGGCAGTGACATCAGCGGAGTTAATCTAGATTTGCATTGGTGCAACTAGGTCAAAATCAGACGTGTTTGTGTGCAAGCTGTGTGGTTATGAAAATACTGAGATTAATGAATACCTAAAGATACTACGTAAGCAAACTTTAATTAGACAAAGACAGAAAATTAATTCTTCGTGAATTACCTACACCCAGTCAGTCTCTTCAGGGCAGCTTTGATCTCTTTGTTCCTCATGCTGTAGATAATTGGATTCACGATTGGTGGCAATACGGAATAAAGAACAGCCACCACAAGATCCAGAGCACATGTGGAGCTGGAGGTGGGTTTCATATAGGCAAAGGCCCCAGTGCAAACAAACAAGGAGACCACAGTGAGGTGAGGAAGGCAGGTGGAGAAGGCTTTATGCCGGCCCTGCTCAGAGGGGATTCTCAGCACTGATTTGAAGATCTGAACATATGACACGATCATAAAAACAAAGCAGCCTAAGACTAAACACGCACTAAATGCAATAACCTCAACTTCACTCAGATAGGAGTCAGAGCAGGTGATCTTCAGTAGCTGGGGGATTTCACAGAAGAACTGATCCACCATGTTGCCTCCACAGAAGGTCAATGCAAACATGTTCCCGGTGTGTAGTACAGAGTTGAGAATCCCACTGATCCAGGCACCAGCTGCCATTTGGACATAAGCTCTGCTTTTCATCATTCTCTCATAGTGCAGTGGTTGGCAGATGGCAACATATCGGTCATACGCAATGACAATGAGAAGGGAAAAATCCGCTGTGATGAAGAAGGAGAGGAAAAAGACTTGGGCATGTCGTGGAAAGAATCACCCACGCAGTGATTTTAGTTCACAGACTCAGAGCCTGAGGCCAGTTTATTGACATACAAACCAGTGCGCACTGGGGTGTAGCTCGAAAGCTGGCACACCGAGCCCTACACGCACGGGCTTTTTATTTCATTAAACCACAAGCAAGGTACAAACAATACGTCATGAGTTAAGAAATTAGGGACCAATCATAAGCAGGGCATGGGGTGAACACGAGCTCGGAAACAAATTACAAACTGGGGTTGGGGCGATCACGAGCTGATCACGAGCTAGGGTGTTGGGGTTGGGGTCAGTCCTCCCTCCTCCCCTCGCATACTTTCTCAACTTCCGAGAGGTGGGTGTAGAGGGATGCTCGGTGGTTTCCGCAGAGGTGGTGCTCGGCCCTAGCCTGGGTCAATAGCAGCAGCTAGAGTGATTAACTTTCTGCAAACAATTTCTTAATATTGAGCAACTTACATTATATTTCTAAAGCCTTGCGGTTATTATATTTCTAAAGCAGTTTCTTTGGCCTCCAACATACTTTGTAATTTTCTTCCCTCCTCTGTCACTACTTCTAACTGGGATTTGGCCAAGAATTGATTTGAGCAGTATTGTTCAGGCTTTTAGGCCTTCTCTACTCTGCACAAATGTCACCATCATGACAGCCTTCTGTTGGAGGTGTTTTGGGGCCTGTAGGCCCAGAACTTTGGCTATCAGAAAGGAGGCCCCCTGTCCTGTTCCTCCACAGGCAACACATCCAGCATAGGAAATAGACCTGGTGTTCATGAGGGAGTTGGCCATGGATTTGGGGACGGTGACAAAGATGGAGCCAAGGTCTAGGATGGACAGATTCATCAGGAAGAAGTACATGGGGGTGTGAAGGTGGTGGTCGAAGGCGATGGCCATGAAGATAAGAAGATTCCCCACCAGGACTGCCAAGTACATCACTAAAAACCCCACAAAGTGCAAAATCTACAGCTCCCGAACATCAGAGAATCCCAGGAGAAGGAACTTGGTCATGGTGGTTCGGTTGGACATTTTCTTTCTCAGGACATCGTGTGATGGCTGCAGAGGGAGGGACAAGAGCAAGGGACAGGATTAGATCAGTAAAATAACTCTCCTTTTGTGAAAACCACCTGAATTTCCTTGAGTCAGACCCTTAGCTTGTGAAGATTGGTGTAATATGGGAATGAGGATCGGGAAAACAGTTCTACTGACTCCAATGGAGTTACTCCTGATTTACACTGTAGTGAGAGAAAGTGGAATCAGCTCAATGGACTCCACAGCGGTTACTCTTAATTTACACCAGGGTGATGAAGTGGAGAAATTGGAACAATTGCTTTTGAGAAATTTGTATACCTCTGTTACCCAGAGGTGGGTGAACTCTGGATAACATTGTATAAATGTTACTATCCTTAGTTTACTGAGGGGAATCGGGTGTCTGTCTGGCCAGATTCTGCTGTCAGGGGCACTGCTGTGAATGTGGGGTAATTTCACTGCATGCCATGGTATTAGTCCCCATTTATACTGCTCTAAATGGGAGCAGCATCTCTCATGGAGGTGACCAAACCCAGCCATAATTATGCTGTAAACTCAAATCATGAATACGGCTCAAGAGTTCCGATGCTTCGTCCCCCATTCTAGCCAGATTTCCATGCTCGCTGCTAGAGACAGACACTCCAGTTCCCCTCCTGCTTCTCTAATCACTCAACTAAACTCCCTTCCAGAGCTTGGAAGGGAACCCAGGAGTCCTGACTCCCAGTTTGCCCCCTGCTCTAACCCACTAAATGCAACACGCCTCCCGGATCTGGAAATACAGGCCAGGAGTTCTTGCTCTACCCACTGGACTCACCTCCCTCCCAGAGCTAGGAACACAAGTGAGGTGTCATGACTCCCAGTTCATTCCTCTAATGACTACGTCAGACTGCATCTCAGCCTCTGTCCCAGTGACTCTCCACTGCTATCAGGAATGACTGCTGTGAGTGACAATGGAGAGTCATTGGGCCAGGGTAGGGGCGTGAGAGTGATTCTCCAGTGTGGTACTTGGGGCACTCACCTGGTGTCTGGTAGAGCCAAGTTCAAGTCCCTGCTCCAATGACTATTTAATTATTGAAAGAAAATGGAGCAGCTACAACAGGAGTAGGGTGACCAGATGTTCCGATTTTATAGGGACAGTCCTGCTTTTTGGGTTCCTAGTACCCCCAACCCACTGTCCCGATTTTTGACAGTTTTTGTCTGTTCACCTTAAGCAGGAGAGACTGAGACAGTCTCATTTCAGAACAGCCCGTAGCCCAGCAGCGCAGGCACTGTCCTGTAAAGTGGGAATTCAAATCACTTTTTATCATCAGTCAGAGAGAGGGATTGAATCTGAGCCTGTCACAGGCCAGACGTGTGCCCTAACCACTCAGCTTCAAGTTATGAGGGCGGTCTGTCCCAAAGTCCTTATTATAGGCACAAATAGAACCCCCCAGTTCTGGCTCCTCTACACACTGGACTGAATTTCCTCCCAGGGTCACATATAAAACTCA